ACCAAAGCAGTCTGCAGTGACTAACGGCACCCTGGCTGTGTGTTGAGTTGTGTTTTTGATTTGTTTTTTTCTTCCCAGCAGCCTAACTGCACGAGTTATGTTGATTTTCTTGCTATACGCCAGTGTCTAGAGCAGTGTTTCCCAAAGTTGGGGTCGGGACCCAAAGTGGGGTCCTGAAAATATTTTCTGAATTAATTACATTTTTGCCTTAGTTGTTACAAAGGAGTGAGGTTAGTATATTTAAACTGGATAAATGTAGTATAAAATATTGTTACTGTGCCCATGTTAAGTTGACCTGATACAAATGTTTGCCATCCAAAAATAGCTGGGGGCACTAGTTTCTGCTACTGTTATTTTGTGGGTCAAAAACTGAAAAGTTTTGGATGCACTTTGGTTCCCAAAGTTGGGCTTGGGACCCAATTATGGGTCATGAAGCACCTTGGATAATCTCCAGAAATCAATTTAAAGGGTAATAAAATAATTGATGATGTAATATTTTCCCTATAATTATTACAAAAACACAAAATAAGTAAAGATAAGTATTTATATTTGTGTACAAGCTGTTTAGATTGTCACAAAGCCTGTGTTTTTATGGTTATTAACAGAGTTCGTGTACTCAGACCAGTAATATTTGGGGTCACAAGTTTTTGCCATAGTTATTTTGTGGGTCAGAAGACAAAAAAGTTTGGGAACCTCTGGTCTGGAGTACAAACACAAATGTATCTTCTAAAACTTTCACTTGATCACTGCAGCTATTACCTSTCAAGTTAAATCAAATGACTTGTTACAGTTAATCTTAAGTCTTAGTATAAAGGGTATTTTGTGGTGGGGTGTTTGTAATACTGACATGGATCAGGCTTGCTATAGTCACTACAAGCTCTTTCTTGATAAAAGCTTTTGAGTACTTCTATCCAGACAGGTCTCAGTAGTTTACTTAGCAGATTAATAAGGCTCGATGGGTCTGATGTTGGACATCACAGATTTCTTCAGCCTGTAGCTCTTACTTGTGTATTTGCAGTCCCACAGCTATTATAGCCACTAATTATATACACACTAGTCTCCGGAGCAGCCCACCAGCGCMTAAATTGCAGACAGCAGATAAACCACGGCAAAATAAGAAAATAAAATTACTCCAAATAAAACCAACTCCACCAAATGCTTTGGCCTGCAAAATGAGGACCAGAACTGCACTCCATGGAAAACAATGGACTATTGTTTGAGATCCATTTTTTGGAATTAACAATTTCAGTGTTTTATAACTGGACTTAGAGTAAATTAAATAATGCTTTGGTCAAATATTTGATGAACATTAATGGATATCTCTCCTGATATGCAGGACAAGATGCTTGCACTGCAAAAAATAATGTACCACCGACTTTAAAGAGGGCTGCAAAATTGTTTTTTTAATGCTTAAACAAGCTGATCTGGACACACGAGCAGAGCTTTAAAGCCTGGGGCAGTTTCTTCCAGTGACGTCCAACAACATTACACCATGSTCACAGCTGCTGTGTCGCCGCTGAGCTGTCCCAAAGAAACATGATGCTTCCTATAATCTGACCATCATTTGGATGTAGACAGCTTGTGACGCCAGGCCAATGATTTACTCCTGTGTGTGTGTGTGTGTGTGTGTGTGTGTGTGTGTGTGTGTGTGTGTGT